TGGGCAGTTTTTTGATACCATGATTGTAGCATCAAGTGATGAAGAGTGGTTATAACGACCCATCAAAATCTAAGTGCTGGAAACTGTTTTAAGCCACCTAAACCGTTTTAGTTTAGAATTAGGTTTCGATTGTGGCCTGAAAATTTCTGCAGATCTACGTACATGACCGATACATTAAATGTAACGAGGGAAAGTCACTGGATTTGATGTAATCTTGATCAGTGATTGAAAAAAAAAATAATAATAATAATAAGGCCAAAATTTTAGAATATCAAGTATGAAATAGGGAAGACGAAAATAATTATGGGCTAGGGCTTTAAAGAACCGGCGGCACTTTTCCCAGTACCAAATTCCCTGGATCTATCCCGCGCCCTCCCCAGACCAGAAAACTAAAATATCTACATACTGTACTAAGGTTGGCCCTGACACTGGCAACAGCTTCTTATCTCTTGGGCGAACGGTTTCCAAACCTGCCTGTAGACCACGCTGTATTGTGGATCAGGTGACGGAATTTGTTCATAGTCGTCGGTTTGGACCAGAAGATCTTGTGTAAACGACTGCTGAAGACACATACCGTCTGTACGCTGACCGCAGAACTGATGAGTACCGCCAAATATAGACGTACTCGCACCATCTGTTCCGCAGATTTTTTCGTTGATGAGTCGGGGGAACTTATTTTCTGGTAGCTTCGTTATCCACCAGCATTCTTGGCAGAGGTGCCGAAACCCCACTGAAGATATCTTACCTTTATCGTCACATTGCTGTATACCCTCCTTCAGTGCTCTTTTTGTTCGGCCATGATTGTCTTCTTCATCCCTAAAGTAGTCTTCTTTCTGGTCAATGGAGCGTCGTCGTTTTCCACTGACGTTGCTTGACCACACGATCGGTTTTGGATTACTGGCGATGGGAGCAAGAGGATTTTCAAAATCCAAAGCGGCTTGCTCCAAGCTGACTGCGACGTAATGTCTGTTGAATCCGCCAACGGCTTGAAGTTCTTCCTTGAGCTCATTTTCTGACGGTACCAAACACAGGACTTTGTCACCTTGCGAAGTAATCACCGTCTGATTCACCTTAGTTTTGGCACAAGGGTGAGCGGAAGTCCCCTCTCCATCGTTTTGTGACAGGTCTTCGCCTTTAGTAAACTCACGCTCCCCTCTCTCTCCGTTTCTGTAAATGACGTCACTGTTTTGGATGTCACTTGCACTTTTGCTCGGCATGGAGCTTGCACCAGTGGCTAACAGTATAAGCGTCATAACCGTCAGTGAAAGAGGCCTTACTAAAATCTGAAAATATACAATGAAATAAAAAAGTTGTGGAGGTTCAAGTTGTTGTTTTACAAAAACGCGTTAACGGATCAAATGGTTTCGGGTTTTACAAAATTCTATGAGAGAGAGAGAGCTTGTGTAAGTAAATGTTAAAAATATCT